GGGAAGCGCCCCTGGAATCACTGACAGCTCCGGGAAGCGCCCCTGGAGTCACTGACAGCTCTGGGAAGCGCCCCTGGAATCACTGACAGCTCCGGGAAGCGCCCCTGGAATCACTGACAGCTCCGGGAAGTGCCCCTGGAATCACTGACAGCTCCGGGAAGTGCCCCCAGAGTCACTTGGAAGCACCTGGAGCCACTGACAGCTCCGGGAAGGGACTCGGGAGTCACTGGGAAGTGCCCCTGGAGTCACTAACAGCTCTGGGAAGTGCCCCTGGAGTCCCTGGGAAGCGCCTGGAGCTGCTGCCAGCTCCGGGAAGTGCCCCCGGAGTCACTGACAGCTCCGGGAAGTGCCCTTGGAGTCCCTGGGAAGCACTCGGAGCCGCTGCCAGCTCCGGGAAGCACCCCCAGATCCGCCGGGAAGCCCCCGGATCCGCCGGGAAGCTCACCATGTCCGTGTAGATCTCGATGGCTCTGCCGAGACAGTTAACGGCCTCTGCAAGGAGAGAGGGGGGCCGTGAGCGGCGGGAAGCTCCGAGGGCTCCGGCGGGAGCGGGGCGCGCGTCCGAGCGGCGTGGGAGGAATCGTGCTCCGCAGCGGCGCCAAGGCGGCGGGATGCCGCTTTTCCCTGCCCGCGCCCAGCTGCCAGCTCCGGCAGGAGGGCCGGGAGCCAAGAGCTGCCGTCGGAGCGACGGGAAGGGCCAGGAGCCATCCCGGGAAGCGCGGGAGCATCCGTGGGGGCGGCGGCGCCGCGTCATCCCAACAGCCGTCTCCGGGAGATTAAGCCAAGCTCTCCGGGAGATTAAAGCTGTTTTCTCTCCGGGTTATCCTCCTCCGAAAGCCCGCGCTCAAAAACCAGGGATAACCAGCTCCAGGGCTTGCCGGGAAGCTGGAGCTCCGCGGCCTGCGGAGAGCTCCGACTTGCTGGGAGCGAAGCCCATGGAATGTGGATGGGATCCACTGGACGCTCCTCAACCTTCCCCTCGGATCCCACAGCTCCGGCTCGCCAGGCTCACTCCGGGAAGCGCCCGGGAATGGCAGCCCGAGAGGCTCCCGCGGGAGCCACGGGCTCCGTGGGGATCCCCGCGGAGCCGGGAAGCGGAGCAAGGGGTTTTCCATAGGGAAGAGCCGGCGCTCACCTTGCGGATCGGCCTTCTTGAAGGCGTTGCCGGCGTCCACGAGGCTCGTGGCGGCGTCGTGCTTGCTCTGCAGCTGCAGGTGCAGCCGCGCCGCCTGGCAGAAGGCATTCCCGGCGGCTGGAAAAGCGGGAAGCGGCGCGTTATCCCGGCCCGCGCCGCCGCCGCCGCCGCCGGCCCCACTCACCGCTCCAGTTCTTGGCCATCTTGAACATGTTGGCGGCCCGCGCGTACATGTCGCACGCCTCCTCGATCCGGGATGAGCCCCTGGAAGCGGAGAGCGGCCGGGATCGAGGGAGGAATCCCGGCTCTCCCTCGTCGGCCGCTTTTCCCGCTCCCAACGCAGGGAACGCGCCGGCGCAGCTCAAAATGGGGCCGAATCCCTGAGGTTTGGGTGCCAACGCGGCGCCGCCGGCCGCTCCCGTTTCCCGTGGGATAACAGAGCGGCAGGATGCCGAGGCGGGAGCCGGTGCGAGCGGGAGGCGGGAGCCGCGGGAAGAGCGAGGTCACGGTCCCTTATCAGGGAGCCTTATCAGGGCCCGCGCGGGAGGCGCCGGAGCCCAATTCCGCCGTCCGGGATGGACGGGAAAAGCAGATTCCAGGCGCAGGGAAAACCAGGGATGGGGTGGACGGCGGGGGGGGCAGAATTCCCTGTTTTCCCCCCAAATCCGCCCGTGTTCCCAGCACAGCTGGCACCAACCCCTATAGGTCCTATAGGGCCCTATAGGGCCCTGCGCTCTCACCCCATAGGGCTCTCCTCACCCCACAGCCCCCCCCACACCCCTATAGGGCCCCATATCCGCACCCCAGAGCCCCCCACAGCAGCCCCTACCCCTATAGCCCCCATAGGGACCCCA